ACAATCACAACTTCCACTGCTACAACCGTGACAACGACTTCTTCAACAGGGACGCTTGCCATGCACTCTAGGTTTAAGGTTGTACGGGCAGTGAGCATGACACAAAGAGAGTGTTCTGCACCAGTTGCTGCTGTAGGACCACGACTTCATTTACATCGTCAAGCACATCCAGCACCTCAGTCACCACCAGTAGCACTACAACAACCTCCTCGACATCATCTTCTACGACGAAGACACTTGGATTTTGATAAGTCCTATCAGAATCTGCTGCTCTGCACAATGTTCAGTAAGACACGATGCTGCACGCCAGCACAAGCACACAAGCAGTACTATGGGTGTAAACTTGGTGTAAACAGGACATTCACGACGTCGACGTCGAGCAGCGCAACGTCGACAAGCTCCACGACTACATCAATTACCACATCCTCCACGACGAAGACAGTCACGACCTCTACGTCGAGCAGCGCAACTTCAACAAGCTCCACGACTACATCAGTTACAACATCCTCCACGACGAAGACTGTTACAACTTCTACATCAAGCAGCGCAACATCAACAAGCTCTACGTCCACCACATCCACATTCTCCTCTTCAAGCATCACTCACACGACTTCCACATCTAGCAGTGCCACGTCTACAAGTTCTAGCACCACATCGCAGACAACATCTTCCACGACAGAGACACATACAACCTCCACTTCCAGCAGCGCTACCTCAACGAGCTCCACAACGACATCTTCCACGACCTCCTCCACGACAGAGACGAAAACGACTTCCACCTCCAGCAGTGCGACCTCGTCGAGCACGAGCTCGTCAAGCACCAGCACGATCCTGCGATGCAGTTTGCTAAGTCAGACTGTCAGTTCAGAATAAAAGCGTAATCTAGGGGCCTTAATGCCTATACTATTTTGAAGGCTCCTTATTATGATTTTAGTATAATACAGCCTTGGTTTCAAGGAAGCAGACCTCCGGAGGCGATCCAAGTCGCTCTCTAGGACTCTGCCTCGGACATCTGATTAGGGTTTAGGGTCCTACTGTTGGGGCCTAAATAACTACCTATACTATTGTGGGGGGTTCCGTAATACAATTGTAGTACAATGGGCCCCCCAAAACCCTATTCCAATTATTAAGGCCGCTACATGAATTTAGGGTTGCGAGTTAAGCCCCGGTACCTTCAGCGGACATCTGAGGACCTCGACCTCTGCCACATCCAGCAGCACCAGTTTCACAAGCACGTCGTCGACGGTTACCACGGTCACAAGTTCAAGCTTCTCTGAGTACAGCAGGGTTTAGGGTTTAAGGTTTGGGGTTTAGGGTTTAGGGTCTGAGTACAGTAGATTTGGGACGTGTGGTAAGTGTGCCATCAGCTCATGTGTCTACGCCCTTGATCTCTAGAACCCTTGACAGGTTGCAACAATACGCTACAGTCCTAGACCTCTCCTTTCCGGACCCGAATCATAGCGGTCTATCCCACAAACCCGGCATGGTCTCGCAAGAATTTGATCGTACTCCTCTGAACCCATACCCCGAAAGCCAACAGCCCTACAGCCTAAAGCCCTACAAGCCCTAAACCCCAGTAGTATAGAAGCCGCAAAAAAAAAACAACCGAAAAACTTCTGAGAGCTCCTCCTTGTAAAATTCTATGCGGAAAATATCCCAAAGCGCTGGTCTTATTATTACGGGTGAAGACCCCTACAGTTTAGGGTTTTGGGGTTTTGGGTTTCCTATCTTCAAGAGAGCTCAGAGGCTCGACCTCGACGAGCTCCACCACGTCAACGACGACCACGACGAGCTCTTCCAGCACGACGACCACCACCACGCTCATCGAAGCGGTGGTTCCCTGGCTGAAGGGTGTTACACTCTTTTTAGGTGTTTTAAGGTTTAGGGGGATACATACATACATACATACATACATACATACATACATACATACATACATACATACATACCATTACATTTCATTACATTACACTACACTACATTACATTAAATTACATTACATTACATTACATTACATGACATGACGTGACATGACACTACATTACATTACATTACATTGCATTACATTGCATTGCACTACATTACATTACATTACAATACATTACATTACATCACATTACATTCCATTGCATTGCATTACATTACATTACATTACATTACATTGCATTGCATTGCATTACATTACATTACATCACATCACATCACATCACATCACATCACATCACATCACATCACATCACATCACATCACATCACATCACATCACATCACATACATGCATACATACATGCATACATACATACATATGTGTATATATATATAGACATAATATTTTTCTTAGCAGTTTGGATTTCGAGGTTTGGGTAGGAAGTTTAGGGTTTAGGGGTTTAAGGCTTAGGAAGTTTAAGGGTTTAGGGTTTAAGGCTTAGGGGGTTTTTGGGTCTAGGGTTCAGGGCTTTAAAACTTAAGGCTGAGGAAGTTTAGGGTTTAGGGGGTTAGGGCTTAGGAGGTTTAGGGTTTAGGGGTGTAGGGTTTACGGGTGTAAGAGGTAGGAAGTTTAGGGTTTAGTGGTTCAGAGTTTAGGGCTCAGGGTTTGATGATGCCCAAAAAGCCGATCGACCCAACTTTTGCCTCACGCCTTGGCTCCTTGGATCCTAGATGCTGCTTCCTTAAGGGCAATGAGGCTTAAGCCCTGAACCCTCAACCCGAAACACTATACCCTAATCCCTAAACCCGAAACACTAAACCCTAAACCCAAAACCCGAAACCCGAAACACTAAACCCTAAACCCGAAACCCGAAACACTAAACCCTAAACCCTAAACCCTAACCGACATCAGGTGATACCCAGCACATTGCAGAACACCACGCAGGGAGAGGCGCATCCCGTGAACGCTTCAGGGGGAGCCAGGCTTTTAGGCTCTTCGGTGCGTGAACGTAGGGGCCTTCATAGTCAGCATAGGGGTTCCTTTAAAGGGTCCCTTAACGGTTTAGGGTTTAGGGTTTAGGGTTTAGGGTTTAGGGTTTAGGGGATACTATAAGGGATACTATAGTGGTTGTGCAACAGAGGGGCCTTAATAATTAGAACAGGGTTTTGGGGTACATTACATTATAACTACTATAAGGAACCCACACAATAATATAGGTAATTATTAGGGCCCCTACATTTCGGTGGCAGGCTGTCGATCTCGCTTCGTGATCATCGAGGTTTAGGGTTCCGGATTTACGGCAGGCTGCCGAGATGAGGAGTTCCATTGAAGGATTTACTGCCGTCGAGATGTGAGGTTCGGAGGTTTGGGTCCGTCTGAACTTTTGAGAGCAAGGTGGGCTCCAGTGCGAAGGAGAAAGAGGAAGAAAAGTCCGCATGGCCATAGTCTTGATGAAACTGCAGAAGTTTAGCAACGCCTGCCTTTCCACGAACGATCTTGGACCCTGGTCCTCTTCAGATTCGAAATAGCCTTTGGGATTTGGGGTTTAGCTCTTTCATGACCTTGGTTTGAAAGAGATTTCGAGATGTGCAGGTTCACCTGTGTGCATGGAGCATTTGTTCCACAAGGTGTCAGGATGTGAGGTGGCGAGGGTGGCCCAGGGAAGATTCCGAAGTCTGCGCCCACAAAGCGCGGTCTGGACAGTGTTGTTTTGGGCTCAATGAAGCTGCGAGAATTGAGCTGGGAAAATGCCATAAAGTCTAAGCCCCATAAACCCTAAACCCCTAAACCTGAAAGCACAAAGCTTATCAAGGCGTCCCTTTTCGCTTCCAAGGCTGGATGCAACGGCTTTTCCAGCGGCGTGTCTTCAGGGTAAGCCCTAAACCCTCAACCCTAAACCCTAAACATTGAATCTAGGTAGGTACAGGGCCTGCAGGTTTCCAGCAAAGACCTCCGTGAAGGAGCGCTTGAAGAGCTAGGCTTGCTCGCAATAACCACGAGTCTTGCAACATCTTGATTGCAGGAGTGCATAAGTACTGGAGGGTACCCTAAACCCTAAACCCTGAACCCCTGTGATGTCTTGCTCGCAGGTGTTCTTTCAGTCGTTGGAGGCGGCGCTCTCCCTGACTGCCATGAACGAGCCTCGCCTCAGGGTTTGGCTTTAGGGGTTCAGGGGTTCACGAGTTTAGGGGTTTAGGGTCCTTGGGGCTTAGTATGGAGGCCTTGAGTAGGGTCCCTAATTGTTCCGGCTTCTATGTTAGGGCTTCGTGGCCAACTAAGCCCTTTTTCCCTAAACTAACTAAGCCTCGAAGCCCCAGCTGCGAGGGTAGCCGCACCGGCACCCGTTCATTTCGAAACTGACACACTTCACATGAGCTCCAATCTAGTCTTGGGGCTTCGGATCCACATTCCTTGTTCCCCAGTAGTATTATTTTGCCCTTTTTGTTTTGGGGTCTCCTTGTGAAAACCGAACATTGGGAACAGGGCACCCTTATTCTTAAAAGGTTACTGGGGACCCTAATTAGTGATGGACGTGGAGTTCAGGACTTGTGGCTGCTTGGGATCGATATGCCAGACATCTCGGGATGAAATGGGTTCAGGGTTTGGGGCTCAGGACCCTGCACTTTGAACCTCACCCCCAAAGGCCCAATACGTGACCGAATTATTGTAGGCGCCTAAACAATTACCTATGCTATTTCGGGGGCTACTGATTATAATTATAGTATAATGGGCCCTGAAACCCTATTCTAATCATTATGGCCCTTACATTACGCTCGTTGCGATGATCGCAATCCCAGGGCTTGGGGGGCTTCTAGTCTGGGTGGGGCCTCGGCTTCCTTGAGTCCCAAACCAAATTCCTCTCTAGTGGTTCGGGTGGTTTACAGGGGCCTCACTTCGAGTTTTGCTAAGTTAGGGCCGCCGCCCTTCTATCAGAACCAGGGCCCGTATTAGTATTTTTCTTCACGCCAAGAGTGTCAAGATTAATTTGCATAGCTCAAGAATCTGAAATCCTCACCCATGCAGTGTAAAGGCTTCAAGCGATCCTAGAAGGCCTATGTGCCAAGTGTTGCAAGGAGTCGATGCTGGTGGCGGACACGGAGACAGGCTGGGACATCAAGGTCTCCAAGTTACTTTGCAGGCTTACTGACGGCCACCCTACTTTTATTGATAAGAGCCTGCGAGCGAGACTTACAGTTTACGACGCCATTCTCGGAAGGTGACGGCGGAAGGTCTCTGACATATTTCAACAACTCCAAGCCACAAAAGCCGCCCCCCCGCCCTCTCCCCGGATCCTGCCCACATGGGCCTTGCAGGGTGTCGGATCCATGTGCAGATTGCACGGTTTCTGGTTTACAGATTACAGTGGTTTAAAGTCACGGCTTTTAGTTTTTAGGCTTTCCACGCAGGGTTTCGGGCGTTTTGCGCATCGAACTTCGGAATCAGGCCGTGTCACCGCGGTCAAGCTGGCGCCGGCCGATAACGAATCATCGCCGCTGGCCGAGCAAGAGCGGTGGCGGGTGATAAGGGAACTAAGCTACCAAGCTACGAGTAACCTGGCAGAGGAAACGATAATGAAGTTCACAATTCCACTTGCCGAAGCCCTAGATCCTCCTGCCAAGTAGCTGGATTCGCCAAGGACGGTGCTCACTCTCGAACGGACGAGTGGGTCAGGGACGATGAGCGCACCTTGCCAATCGAGAGCTGGTTCGGTTTAGTACATTACCTCTAGTCTGCATTGTAGTTCCTTTTTTTGGTTTAACCAATTATATATATATATATATTCAGAATTTTATAAGGTATCCCCAATAAGGAACTACAATGGAGACTATAGGTATTGGTACTATTGGACTACTATGGGTACTGTTATTGTGGTGGTTGTTGTTACCCGAGTTTGGGATTCGGTGCAACGGGGTTCAAAGTAGAAAAGAAGGGTATGAGCTCTGATAACCCTAAACCCTAAACCCTAAATTAAACTCTAAACCCTAAATACCTTGTCTTGCTCGGTTCGACTCCTGTGTCCCGGGCTGTCGTTTGCCTTGTCTTATGCGGTCTGACTCCTACGCCCTGAGCTGTTCTTTTTTTTGTCTTCCGGAAACTATAATATGCCATGACTAGAATCATAGTATACAGCAGCGTGCCATGTACTATACAGACTTTAACAGACTGTAACTTCCCCGCTCCTGTCTCCTGGGATGTTGGTTGCTTTATCTTGCGGTGCAAGGGCCCATGGAGGCGACAGGCTACAGATTTTTGTTGTGGTATAGTAGTATATGATAGCTTGCTATAGGATACTATTGTGCATTCTTGTATATTACAGTTGATTATAGTATCTTACAGTATGCTGTAGTTGATTATAATGACGGTTCATCCTAAGGGTCCATACCAGAGGCCCACACTTCTAAGCTTAGAGGAAGGGTACTCGAAACCCTTGAAACGATGGTGGTTTAGGCTGACCGAAGGGACTGGTTTGCATCATTCCCGACTGCGGGAACAAGTGCCGAGCTTACCATATCAGAAAAACTGCGCTTCAACGGCACGTGAGGAGCCTATGACCCTAAGGAGACTCTTTGTCTGAAGCGAAGTAGGCCTTGGATTGAAGTCTCAGGGTGCAACCTGAAGTCCCCTGGCATCGCACTGCCGAGGTTGTTGTGCCACAAGATTTGCTGCAGAATCTGTCTACAGGGGGCAACACCATCATGGTGATGACAGAGGCAGAGACTGAAGTTTGATCGGAAGCCTTCATGCTTCTCGCAGGAGCAGGGATAGAACGACAGCGGTAGGTACGAAGCCGCCCTTGTAAGGCCTATTCTTGAATCCCCTCCGCCGATCTCAGTCTTGTCCAGAAGGGGATGCCCGTCGTACTTTGGATGACAGGAGATATGTGTGAGATGCAGAACATTCGGTGCCTTCACAAGCTAGACAAGGATCGCCGGCACCCATCAACTCGTAGCTGTCCAATGCAACCTACCGCCACCCCTATAGCAAACAAGTTCTTACAGATCCAGTGCAGCATCGGGAAAAATCTCCAAGTACTCCAAGTACCTCTTGTCCTTGTGCCTTTTTGTTCACATTTCGGGATTGCGCAAGCATCTGAAAAAGCCCCACAAGGACTGCTCAGAGGTCCGGTTCCATCAAGTGGGCCGGGTGGTCGCCGGTTAGGTGGGTTTAGGGTTTAGGGTTTAGGGTCTAGGGTTTAGGGTTTAGGGTGGGTTTAGGGTTTAGAGGATTGTGCAAAATTTCCACAGGACCTCTGTTCCTACATCCGACAACCTGTTCAGCCCAATACCTCCCCCAGCAGGTGTCGTACTGCTCCTAAACCCTAAACCCTACACCCTAAACCCTAAACCCTAAACCCAAACTCCGAAGAAGGCTAGCCACGACCTGTTGTGTTTTTTGTTTAACCTTGGTGGTACAAGTGGGACCCACTCAGAATCAGGAGCCGAGCTTCAGGCTGGGTTTAATATAGGGGCCTTCATAAATTGGAATAGGGTTTCGGACCATGATACGATAGTTATTATAATAAGGAACCTCGAAAATAGTATTGGTAATTATTGAGGTCTGAGCCCTCAAAACCCACTGGTGTCGGATTCCGATGGGGTTTTCTGAACCTTGACGGGGTGCTTCCGGGCTTGGGGGTTTAGGGGTTACAGCCCTGAATGCGTGGAGCAGGTGACGGAAGAGGTGACCAGAGGCATACCGACGGGTGCTGAAACTGGAGACAAGGCACCTGTCATGCTCGTCACGACCATGGCCAATCTTAGGGTTTAGGGTTTAGGGTTTAGGGATCCATTCCTGTCGTAGCCGTAGCGCAGCTGCTGTCTTACTTGCTCTTGCCCACTGCATAGCCTCTTGTCTTCTTACTTGCGCTTGCCCACTGCATAGCCTCTTCTCTTTGACTGACTTTGTTGCGGCTGCAGTTCCTACCAATCGGACTATTCAAGGATCTCTCTCGACTGCAGAAACCCCAAACCCAGAACTATGACCTCAAAGCACTCAGCTTTGGGCTTCCATGTGGCTTTTCGTTTGGGGTCTTAGGGTTTAGGGTTAGGGTTTAGGCTTTGGTCTAGGAATGTGTCGGCATGGGGTTTGGTGAAATCCCGAAGCCCTACACCCGAACGCAGGTAGTTCTCCATTCTCCTGTGGTGGACTTCTCCTTCGTGAACGAGGCCGCTGGTACATAAACCCTAGACAGATTGGGACTGGGGGGGTTCGGTTGGAGCTGTCCCCATAAAGGCAATAGGGTTCTACAAGATCTTCATACAGGGCTTCATCGGGTTGTCTACAGGGTTCTTATTATCAGGGTTTCTACACCAGGGCTTTCTCAACGTTTTCCAGGTTGGATACGGTTGTATGAGGGACAGGGCCGTCAACCCTGAATCGGATACCTCTTCCACATTGGCAATCGCGGTGAAACCGAAAGTATGGGCCTCGACTTGAGTGAGACTTTCCAAAGCCGGAGCATCAGCTCAAGCACATCCCTGATCCGCCTAGGCCTGAGCCCCGAATTCCGAAATCCCAAACCCGCGGCCTTTGAGCAACCAGACGGATTTCGGGTTTGGGATCTAGAAGCTAGCTTGTCCAAATGATGCAGCCAAACAGCCCGAAGACTCGACTCATTTGTGAATTTGTGTCCCGAGGAGCGAACAGCTCAGAAACCACGAGAAGCAGCATTCTGCGGAGCTGAACTAGACGAGTTGTAGTGTCAGTCAGGTCGTGGAAATAAGTCACAAAGAGGTTCAGAAGAGATTGACGGCCCAAACTTTAGTCGTCTTGGTAGCACAGCAAGCCTGTAATCGTCCTGTCCTTTCCTTGGCTTCTGCAGATCATGCCAAGCTGGCATGATGTGCACTACCGTGTCATGTGTGCAAGAAAATGTCACACCTTGTCTTGTCTCAGCTTCTTGCTTTCTGTTGTACTACATCGAACGATACCTTGTTGCTAAGCAACAGTGCGCAAAATGCAGACTTCTTCTACCTGGGTTGACCTCAGTGTGTTGTTTTACGCCCGTGATTCACGGGGACGCAGGTCAGCGGCACCCTCCGGCTTGTGGAGGCCGCATTATTTTATTGACAGTACGGCGCGTGTGCGTGTGTGAGAGAGAGAGAGAGAGAGAAACAGACAGACAAACAGACAGCCAGCCAGCCAGCCAGCTAGCCAGCCAGACAGACAGACAGACAGAGAGAGAGAGACCGACAGACAGAGAGAGACAGACGGACAGAGAGAGACAGAGAGACAGAGAGACACAGA